CTACGTAAAAATGTCTTATCTTTCGATCTAGACTATCAAAAAAATTCCAAAAGTTGAAGATCATGGAGATAAAACGTGTTTTTCAAACAAGTGCATTTTTCGAGGTTATAAGAGAAAATTTTCGAAAAACTGATGCCACCACTGGAAAGCTGTGGAAAAAATACATAAGAACATGTTTTTAGATAACTTTTTTATCAAAGTTTTGACACTGAAACGACGAGTTGAAAACGTCGTGTTTGACGCCAGCGCGGGCCGTCCACCGCGGCGCTGGGACAGTTGACGTGATTCTCCCCATATCTTTAGTAAGCAAGTGAAATTTACTGAGCCTGCTTTAAATGAATATGTTATTAATGAATCTTACAGGCTGTCTAAAAAACTAACACGAGCAGCATCTTTTTCTGTCTTTTTTTGCAGCAGTTTCTTTATTTTTTGCTTGACATTATGTGAAAACGCCTTATGATTTTCAAATTTCTTTCACAGCTAGTTGACCTCACTTTGTATTTTTTGCTTAGGAAAATCATTTTGTGCGACACTTTCGACAAGCATCAAAAAGTTTTGTATATGCGGACAATTTTCAGCATGCTAACGTAAACTACAGCGTTGTTTTAAGAACTAATCACGCGCATATGGTGACTGACATCTTTTCTTGCCACGACTTGTCAAAACAAAACACTGTGCGATGCCATAGGCAGGAGGAATGGTAATAACTGGCTGCAGCACTGTCTATCTTGCACTTTGTTTTGTGTATCGTATGTCATTTGAAAAGTGCAGCAATGTATTTTAATACTTTTTACACTTTCTACTACAAATAAGAGCTACGTAACTTTGTCATAGAATTCTTCTCTCCCCCCAAGTAGCGCAGCGTTAATCCTTAGAGTAGTTTCTTACGGGACCCTTGCCTCCTTATTTACCACGTAGTTGATAGAAAATCTCCTACTCTTAAGTATAGTTTTATTATATTTAAAAATTATATTCCATGAATCGAAGTATCAATTAAACCATGAAAAATAAGTACATTGTGCATATGATTCTTAAATATTGTCAAATTACACTTAGCAAGGAGGTAAAATTTGACTTTTGACATGTAATTAATGACTCAAAAAACTACGATAATGACAGGTATCTTGCTTGACTATTTAAAAATTTTTTTAAACATAAATAATTGCTCTATATATGCTCTGTATTTTTGCAATATGTTAAAGTTTAAGCTCTAACTCTGCATGTAAATAAAAATTTTTACATTATTCGGTTCACATAATTTGGCAAACTGTATCAGAAATATTTCAAGCTATAGTGCATAACTTTTCGTGCAAAGTTGTCTTGAAGCGCGATTTTTTCTAAAAACCTTGTTTTGTCTCTTTGTGCATCGGTATTTGAAGAGCTCTTTATCATCTTAACACTGAACAACAGTGGGCACTACTGAGCCATGATAATACAATGCTAATCAAGTACATTTCTAAGTGGGCGGTGCGCGTTGAACACTTTCGAAGGAATTGTTCCGTAAACTGCGAGTACTACGATGTAAAAAAAACGCTTGCACTGACAAGCCAACATTCTTAGAGATTTTGTAAACGCAAAAATTTATTTGTGACAAAAAAAAAAAAAAAATCGTCGTACAACAGGGAGGAATTATCTCATCTGCTATCTTGGGCCTGCTCCTCAAACTAAAGTGTACATATTTATGTATGCTGAAACAAAAATAAAGCATAAGAAAAATCTTTTAGGAACCACCGGATACAATGATATATCTACTCAACGTAGAAATGAACAATACTTTGAATATACTGTATACTGATAAGCAAAAAAGTGAAAAATACTAACTGATTTTACAACGATAAAAACACTTTTAAAAATTAGACTGCAAAAGAAAAGGACATGCTAACATAATCAAAGAGAATCCCAAGGTATCACAAGTTGACGTTTCCTGTGACAGTAACATCGACATGGACAAAAAGAAACGTGAAGAGGGGAAATGGTAGTATACCAAGGTGATCGAAAGCATACTGAAAAAGTATAGTCAAAAAGCTGCAATTATTGTGCACTGATTGCACACAACTAGCAACGATTAGAGGATTAATGAACATTACGTGATCATACGTAGTGTTGTCATACCGCAGTTAAACATTATCGATCTGGTAAACAACATCTTAAGGGACGGAAAAAAATACGCAATAGTCAGTGCAATTAGTTAGGCATAGTGATTCATATAGCAATTATTCTACAAAAGTGTGTCAAAAACATTGAAGCATTAAAATTACGATTAATAACGATGACTACGTCGGTAGATAAAAATTGACAAATAAGAGTCCAAGATCCCAGCCACATATTGAAAAATTGCTTGACGACAAAGAAGCTGAATCAAGGACATCACCTAAAAATTTGAAGAAAGTTTTAAAAAATCTTGCTTTCGGCGTATCTAGTATAAACATAGCATCGGTTGAGCGAATAAGTGACCAAGGCGAAGACAGAGAAGAAGAACTTAAAGAGGAGGAAAAAAATAGTGCTCTGTACGCTTTTTTTACCTTGCAACTATTTGACATGCATATGGTATACTTAGATACAAGTTTTGTGGTCCTAGAATAAAGCTATCAAAGCACATTAAGCAAGGAAATGTAGGTATAAACCTTTTAAACGAAGCATGTTATCAGCACAATTTTGCCAACGCTATGGCAAAGAAGAAGAGCAGACGTCTAAAAGTCGATCGAGCATTAGCTAAATTTGCTTTTTTGCGTATGCTCGCTGGAGAAACACCACCAGATGAGTGAACAGTTGCTTTATTGACAGCATGCTGTGTGTGCAGCAAGATTATGTTTAATAAATTTTTTTCGCGCAGAAAGAGAGCCATTTAATCGAAGTCAAGAAAAATTTTTTTTTAAATAATTAATAACACTTTAAAAACTTAAGGAGGTTCGGTAGTGATAATTTTTTATGATGAAAATTTTCGAAATTTCGATATGTTGTTTGGGATAATAGTATCAAATTACAGCTAAATTTTTAAAGGGTTTAACTACACCGTTTTCAAGATATATTGACCTGAAAAAACAATATTTTAACATGTAGGCTAATGGAGAAATCACTTAAATTTCACATAGAAAAAAAACGGCCAAATGAACTTGCTTTTTTTTTTTTTTAAATGAAAGAATATTGTCAAAATAATATTTTGTCAAAGTTTGAGAGAGCTCTACCACAAATTTCTATTAAAAAACAGCAAAAAATGTGCTCGCAGCAGACGACTTGGCAACGCTGCTTTTGGCGCGCGCTTTGAAATGTAATGAATAGTAAAAACTCCTTTTGTAATTGAAAATTTAATTATAAAAAATTCAACCGAATAAATAAGTACACTGTCATCAGTAGACGACGACAACAGCAGTAGACGACAACAACAGTAGACGACGTGCCAGCAGCCCCGAAAAAATTCACAACGTTGCCAGACGCTCTCCCTCCCCTTGCCTCTCTGAGATTTCCCCCAGCTAACACTACCGAACCTCCTTAACTACACAGTACTACGACCAATTGCATATATTGATAGAAACAAAATTACACGTGCTACGAAAAATGTTTGCAATCGCAGCTGATTATTTGGCTAGAGAGTCAAGATGAGTATAACTTACATAGACTCAAAAGAGATCGTTTTCTCAAAATATAAATCTCTCTTATTAGCACTGATGTTACTGTAAAAAGCATACCACAGCTACACAATGATAGACACGATGAACGTCTTGTAATTCGTATTGATTTATGTATGAGCCTCCATATATACACAAATAATAAAGAAATGATATAAGAAATCAATATTTATGATGCTACGCGAGATTACGTGGTTTTCATATTGGAAAGAGGTGGTTGCGTAGTTGCTGAGTTAGTCTGCTCCAAAACAGTACACAGTACAATATGATTGTATTCAAACGGGTGAATAATATTTATACTCATTATAACCCTAAACTCCCATTACATTACTTCTAAGTTTTCAAAAATTCTTATACTGTTAAATTATTTATATTGTTAAACTAATTCAAGTTTTAACCTAAATGTCGAAAAGCATTAAAACAAGGAGAAAAAAATTGTGTGTAAATTCTTAATACCGTTAGTAAGTTGTACAAATAAAATTAGTATTTATTAAAAGAAAGTTAACAATATCAAAAGAAATTATGTTTATTTTTTATAAAAAACTATTAGCAATTTTTATTCTGAATCTGTTTAAAAACTTTGTTTTACTAATTAACTTTTTTACAGTATGATAAATTGAAACATATTTTCATACAATTTAAGAATAATCTATGTTCTCTTTGAGTTGTTTTTATTACCTAACATAAATGTAATTTCTAACTTGAGATAGTATTCCAGTAATAAATAACACACCTGTTAACAGTAACAGTCATTACATTATTTATCATTCAGTGATTCATTTAATTTGGCGGAAAGAAATGAATCAAGTTTCGTCGAGTGAGTGAATTTGAACTTAAAATAATTGTTGCTACTTCGATTTGTAAATATATGAATTGTATGAGATCGCATAATGATATTGTTACGTTTTGAGGATTGCCGAAAGACAAATATGTGGAAGTATTACGTAAGTTTCTTTGATTAGGAAAGTTGGAAAAAAGTGTGTGAAAGTCTAGCATCAATTCTTAATTATATTAACTGTTTAAGGCTTCAAATGTAATAAAACTATAAATATTACAGCAGTAACTATACTAGTAGCTACAGGAATATACTCTAATTATTTTTTAAAATCTCAATAACAATATGTGTCTTTGTGTATGTGTGTGTTTTAAAGTTTTTTATAACTAAAACACGATTGAAAATTGGAGTGAAAATTGTGTTTAAATCAGACAAAGATCTACAGATTAATTTAAAGCAAAATCAATTTATTGTATTTATTCGTTGTAGTAATATCAAGACACAGTGCATTATATAAAAACAAAAAAATCGTTACTTGAGATAGATAATTAAATTAAGTCAATGACGTAAAATACACAATTGGTAATAAAATAACATACCTCATTTATAGAATGTTGGCATGATATTACTAAGCTATCTGGAAGTATCATGGTTGGCGTGGTAGGTGGTGTGTTATTATCAGAAGATAAACTTTCTCTTGCTGTTCTCCTTTTTTTTGGAGGAGCAACCATTTCGTTTGGTGGACTTTCAGGTCTGTTGCTCGTAGGCGAGTCACATTCTTCTGATATAGCTTGTCTTAGCCAACGTTTTTTTGCAGAACCTCCAGAACTAAGAGATGTAGAATTTAGAGTAGGGCTGTCAGTCATTTCTCGTTTACTACTTAGACGGTATTTATGAGACATACATGAAACAGACTGTGCAGCTTGTACGAGCGTAGCTAAGCTTTTAGTAGCAGAGTTATGCAAATGAGATTCGGGCAATTGCTCAGCATTAACTAGAAATGGCTCGAATCTTTGAAAGTCATTTATCTGAGAAGGCTGATCTTCTTTAAGCCACTCATTTATAAGTAGTTTTTTCGTTTTAGGAAATTTAAAACCAGGTGCCAAGGGTTCAACCGCAGCTGCTACTAACAAACAAGCCGATGATAGTGGTGTGGATGGGGTTGAGTTTTGAGAGCTACTACTGGTACCACTATCACCATTGGGGCTTTTAATATGAGCAGCCTGTTGAATTGGTGATGTTTGTTTGTCAAAAAAAGTTATTTCTTTTTCTTGTTCCATCATTAAACATGATTCAGAATCATTTGGATTTGCAAGAGCAAGCAATAACCCAGCATCCACTGAAGTTGTTGATTGCGAGATTTCTGCGTTAGAGTTCAAACATTTATGCATTGTGGGTGGTGATAGTTGTATAGAATTATTTTCATCACCAGATGTAATAATATCTGACTCAGCTGAACTTTGTCGCATTCTACGGGCAGCCTTCAATTGTATGGTACTCATAGATCTGGTTCTACCTTTCCGTTTTTTACGTCGAGGAGTTTTTTCATTTATAAGTTGTTTGCATTTAGATGTTTGATAACTACTATCATCATTGTCACTGTTTGTACCATAGGATTCTTTTCGTTGAGTGTTTCGAGCTCGAACTTCTTGTTTTCTTTGTTCGGCCTTCTCAAGTCGTTCAAAAGCTTTTATGATAGCCTCCATTTTTCTCTCTTCCCGAGTTAATTTCTTTTTATCTTTTTTTTCAAGAGTAATGTTTAATTCTGTTTTGGTATTTAAGTTTGTAATTGTTTCGTCCCTAGAACTTTGACATGACTGCCTACCATGGAAATTTTGAGATTGATGAATATCTTCTTTATTCAGCTCATGAGTTATGGACATAATGGCACTTACACTACTTTGAACTTCATGATTATTCGTAGTTTTAAATGCCATGTTGTTGCCATTAGTTTTTATGTTTTCTTTTATTCTTCTGCTAATACTTTTTTTCGTGGATGTTGATGTCACAATCGAATCGATAAGCTTTTCTGTTAAAGGAATTGATTCATCACTTTTGATTAACAACTTTTCTACGCTTTTTCTTTTTCTACCTCGACGCTTTTTTTCACGCTTGCTGAAAAGTAAAAAGATTACATTTATTTATCAGATACTGTTGAAATAACCAAACAAAATTTTTTCAATAGAATATAAATTACAAACATAATAGAGTTTTCATCAAGTATAATACTAAGTATTAAAATAACTTGTGTTACAATAATATTATTAAATCGAAACTCCGTTAAATATAAGCTTTCAGTACATACACACATAGAATATTTTAATCAATATATATTTCAAATAAACAAAACAATTAAAAAGCTATATGCGGTGTGTGTCTTTATTTCAATAAAAAATTGTTAACGTTTCGCCACTTAAGGGGGTCTCTACAAGATATATGTTAACAGCCCTTCTTAAGTAGGTGCCTCAAGCACTTTCCACAGATCACAATCGGCATCTAAACTTCAACCTTCATATTAAATTAAAAAATGTTTTGGCTGCACTGAACAGTTATTGATATAATATGTAGGTTGAAATTTGGATGCCGATTGTGAACTGTGGAGAGTGCTTGAGGTACCTACTCAGACATTGACAGGGATGACAATATCTTTACTTTTGATTTAATGATAGACATTTTTTTTAAATAGTTGCACTGAAAGAAGGAACTTTGCTGTCACTCCACAAGAAAAAAATTTCAACTTTTAAAGCAAGATTGGTAAAAAAAATGTATACAACGCACGGAAGGAAAAAAGTATAGCCTTAAATCAAATTCTTGTCTCCCAAGGCTTCACTTGCGATCTAGGACTTACTTGATTTTCTCATTTTACGCGCGTAACGTACTGTTATTTCCACAGAATAATAAAAAAGCGTAAAAACGGTAAACATATGATGATATGATGGGTAAATACTTTAAAAAGCATACGTATGAAACCTTATGAAAAGACTTGACTAATTATATACATAAGTAATGACAGCATGATTACATAGGGCTAAAGTTAGGTGATGAAAGAAAAAGTTGAAAAAAGTTCTAGAAAAGTTTGTCAAAACAACAAAGAGGTAAGTAGAGTCCCACTTCAAGAAGATAAAATATGTTGTATTCTACGAGATAACAATTCTTAAAGAATATTATGAAGTTATGAAAATAAATATTTTGTCTCCTCCTGTAATATGTAGTTGGGCGTGTTCCCATTCAGCCTTAAAATCCACTTAGCATATTTTCTTCTGGGCCCCTCCATACCTTCTTCATCTTTGTAGCCCTATATCTCTGCTCCAAATAGTTCTATACTCTCTACCAATGCATCGTACATCCTGTATCTTCTTCCTAGGTCTTCTCCGAAGATTCTCTCTCCAATGCTCCAGTTTTTTTTCATAGCTACCATTGCCCTTTTCTTTTTCTCTCTCAGATGTTTGACTGCCTTGCCATTCTTTTGAAAGACATAGCCTAAGTATTTAAATTCTCCTACTTCTTCTATCCGTTCATCATTCCACTTCCATATTCTACTTAATTTTCTCTTGGATTTCTCAAACACCATTATTTTTGTCTTTTAAATGCTTACTATTAGGGCCTTAATCTTTGTGTATATTCTGAACTGCTTCAGCATGTCTCTGATGCCCTCCTCGTCTTCTGCCAGTAGCACTATGTCATCTGCGTATATTATTATTCTAACCTTTTTCTTACCTATGACTATCTATACCTCCTACTCTTTTGGTTTCTAAAAACTCTTCTAGGTCTGATATATATATATATATTGAACAGCGTTGGGCTCATTGGGCATCCTTGTCTAACACCTTTTACTGTCCAGAACTCTTCTGAGATCTCGTTTCCCACTTTAACTTTACAGCATGTTTCTTCATATATCTCCAGAACTCTCTTATTCAGCACCTTGTTTTTGCTTAATATATCAAGACTTTCTTTTAATTTGCTCCTGTTTAGGCTACCAAGCGCTTCTTTTAAGTCTGCAAAGCAGGCGTACATCTTGCCTCCTTTCTGGCTTAGTCTCACGTCTGCTGCGTGGTTGAGTATGTAAATCGCATTTGTCACTCCTCTTCCTTTCCTAAAGCCAAACTGGCTCTCCTGCAGCTTATGATCTACTTCTTTTATCAACCTGTCATTGAGTAGCCCTGAGTATATTTTGTAGGCTGTCATCTGTCGTGGGTCTTCCAATTCCTGTTTCTCCATCATCTGCTAGTTTCTCTCTCATTTTTCTCTCTTTCCCTCCCAACCTTCTGGCGAAGTGTTCCTTTCAAGTATTGAAATCGATCTCTTTGCATACTTCCTGTCTCTTTCTTCTATATTTATTTATGTACTGCCATGCCTCCTTTTCTGTCTTTATCTGTCTGATCTTGCTCAACTCTTTTGCCTTATATATTTCTTTCTTTTTTGCGCACCAACTCCTATATTCTCTCTTTCTTATCCTGTATTCTTCTTAGTTAAGCTCACCTTTTCTCCAGTCCCTCAAGGTTTTTCTCAGCATTCTCTTCCGTTGGTCCCACTCTTTGTCATGCTATGGTCTCTTCCCTAATGCCACCTGTTTCACCACCCTCTCTACTTTGGGTATGGCTTGTTCGACCTTGTCCAATATTTCTTGCATCCTATTGTTATTGCTACTTCCTTGTGCCTTCCAGTTTTCACACTTCTTATGATAGGTCTCTGTAAGCTTTTCATTCCATATCCTCTTCTTCACAACCCTACCTGACGTTGAGTCCCCTTCATTTGCCATCTCCTCCATTGGCTGACCTGTCCTTATTTCTGCAACCAGTGGAAGATGGTCAGAGTCAGCTCTTATTCCTATTGTAAATTTCTAAAGTTCCCCCCCCCCTCTCTGGATTAGTTATAATGTAGTCAATTGTGCTGCGGCCACTCTCCCATATATATATATATATATATATATACTCTCGTCTCTTCTCCTGTCCCATTCATTATTGCCCATGCTCTCTCTTCCAATTCATTCACCAGGGTCTTTCCTTCACTATTCACTACTCTGTCTTTTGCTTTCCTGATTATTGTCTCACCTTCTGGATCCAGCGGGCCCCTCAGGCTGCCTGTCCTCGCGTTCCAGTCACCTCCGATCAGAAGCTTCCGTCCTGGTTCCCATTCATCTTCCTCTAGTGTTTTCATCGATTCTTTCACCCCCTGACTGTACACTAATATTGTTTTCCACTTTTCACTGTCCACTGTCCCTGTCCAACTTTCCACTTTACTTCCTACAAATTCATAGATTTCACTTTTCACCAGACTCATTTTCCTTACCACGTATAACATGCCACCACTCGCCCTCCCTTTCTTATACTCTCTGATTGCTCCTGTATGCCACCATTTAAAGTTCCTACTCAGCTTGCTCTTCAGTTTGCTCCACTCCTTTGCTTCCATCCAATTTTTGTTAGCCCCACCACGTCAAACTCCTCTATATTTCTCCAAAAATCATTGTCTTTATTGCTAAGCCAGCCACATTCCAGAAACACACCCTGACCCTTCTCCCTTCTCCTCCCTCTTCCCCTATGTCCTATGTTCTCTTCTCTGTCTCTCTTTCTTCTGCTCTCAAACAACCGTCTCCTTTATCTCATTTGAACCACTTGTCTCCTAAACAGCATTTCATGTCACCGATCGTCGTCTTGAGACCTTTGTCTCTCTTCTCTCTTGCTACATCTCTTAGGTGTTTCTGGATCTCTCTCTCTCTCCTTCTGTTAGATCATCGTCTATTTATACTCCTTTGTCTAGGTTCCTCTTGTTATTCATGATTTCTATTTTGTCTTCCGTGCTGTTCAATTTCACTAGGAATCTGTCTCCTGTCTTCTGACCTTTTCTACCCCTGAGTATGAACGCTGTTTGGACTACGACTTTGCGCCTCGCCGTGCGATCTAAGAAGTCATCCACTTCTTCTGTCAAATTCTCCTCCTCAAACTGCTGTCCCTTAATGATGACATTCAACTTCTTCTTCTCTCTCTCTCTCTCTCTCTCTCTCTTTCTCTCTCTCTCTTGTCGCTCTCTATCTACAAAGTCCTGATTCTTTTCACCAACTCCCATTTTACTGCCCTCCACTCTTCTTTCTCTTTCTCCCATGCTCTTTCCTTCTCCCTCCATTCTGCTCTGATCCCTTCTAGTGTGTCATCTAGTTTTTGCGTCGTTGTCTTTTTTAACTTTTCCAATCGTTCTCCAATGCTCCTCTCTAGTCTCTCCATCCAGCGTGGTTGTGACTCCTCCTCTAGACTTTTCTCATACTCCTTATCTTTGTCTTTCTTTGTCTTGCTAAAACTTGCCTCGAGAATCGTCTGTGCACCGCTATTGTTTTAAAGATCGTCCCGGTCTTGCTGGGCACGTTGCCTGCACGCGTGTTAGTCGTGCTCCTTGTGCTCTTCTTCTTGTCGTCTTTCATGCCTTCTGTGAAGAAGCCTAACCTCTTTATTGTCGGATAACTCTTTCTGTGACTTCGAGTCTCGTTATTCTGATATCTTTCCTGTTACTGTGCCTTCCGCTTCTTTCTTACTCGTATTTTATGTTGGTCATTTCTGCGGTTCTTGTTATTTTCTCGTGTACAATTGCTCAGCAGCTTGAACTCACGTGCGTCTCCTACCAGTGCTTAACTCGAACTCCCATGAAAATAAATAATGTTGTTGGTTCAGTAAAAAAGTTGTTAACTAACCTCAACGAAAAATAAAAGTTTTGAATGAATATGAATATCCATTTCTGTGATTCAGTATTATAAGAACAAATAACAATCATAACTTTAAAAAACGCAGTAATTTATCGATTAAAGTCATAATTCAGTGACTCTTTTATCAATTAAATTACTGTTTTAAAGTTAAGCTGCCTTTATAAGGTATCTCAAAGTTTCAATACAATTTTTAATCTTATTAGGACTTTACGTAGATCTTATGTTGCCTTGTGTGTATAACATGTTACAATAATTACTTTACGATTTGTTTACTAGAATAATAAATAAATATTCATGGTAGAAATACAACTCGTTTGTCTCGTATTCTTATGAAAAATAAAATTATCTCAAACATGTCAACACCCTACAAGACGTGTGACATTATTGATTGTATACTTATTTTATCAACTATAACGTAACACAA